ATATATATATATATATATATATATATATATATATATATATATATATATAGTATATATAATGGAAATGATCAAATAATGGGTTTAAGGTTTTTTTAAGAAACATTTTTAACGGCTATCCAAAACTTAAGAGTGCTGCCAGTTCTACTTTTGAACTGTGCTGCGCTGATGTTAGCTTTTTTTCTCTTCTTTTTAGCATAATATAAATTTGGTTCATAACGACATTCTTTCAATTTAAATCTTGGGGTGCTGTCCTTTGAAGGTTAAAAACCGTATCCGATACGTAAACCTGTAGATCTATTTTACTGCATAGGAAAAAAAACTGTTGGTTTCCTGTAGATGTTACTTTTGCTCTTTTCCACTCTGAAAAATCTGGGAATATGCTGTTTATCCTAAAAAGCTACTTTCAAAGGTACTTCAACTAAAAGCAGACTGTAATAGATCCTGCAAAAGGGACCTATGTGGATAAATAGATCATTATTATGTCATTCTTTAATCAAACTGGGCTTTTGCATAAACCTGATTATCAGATAAGAGAAAAAATAACTCTTTAAAACTACTTCAAACTTGTCATTGCAACCTTAAATTCTTATAAAGGTTGTGCTGTTCAATTAAACCATTCCTTAAGGAGCAGTGTGCTGTCACTGTGCAGTTGGGCTGCATTCTGGGTCTAAGCAAGTTTCTCATGGAACCATTCTGTGGGATATGAACAAGGGGATTTGAAGCTGTCAAAGGTTATCCCTGCTCTCATCACTGGGCTGCAACTCTCCCCACCCATCACCAACTTTTTAGCACCTAATTAATCATTTCCAGGATCAAGGGGGCTGAAGATTATCACATTAGTCAATAGTCGAGAGGCAGGGGGGTACACCAACAAATGCCTGCACATCTTGTATGCAGGCAAAACAGATATGAATACTCTGGCGTGCTCATTTAAGATCAATTGATAGTCTGCTTTCAACCTAACATGCATATTTTGTACTGTTGGAGAAAGCCAAATCACTCTTTGTCAGCAATGTGTTATTCTTAGTAGTAATGATAGAATTAAAGGAAATTGTTTCCATTAATAAAAATAATTACTCCTTAGAGTGACTGAGTTTTGATGTAAAAATTCAAGGGTGATGTGATAAACACATTGAAACTTACATCCATGCTACACTGAAGTGCTCAAAACGGTTCTTGGTAAAAGTTATAGTGGAGGATGTTATTTTTCCCGATGGATCATCAAACTAAGTGGTCCTCCTAATAGTCAATTATTCTGGTGATATGTTTACGTAAGGCGTGCCACGTCCCAATTTTCACTTACCGGTGTTCAGTCTGACATAGTGGAAAAATTGCTTATCTTCTTTTGGAAAGTAAACTTGTATGAGCGATGAAAACAGCAACTTTTAAACAGAACGTGAATGAGGAGAAATGGGTTCACACCTGCTCTCACACACGTTTAATAGGTGTTCACTCTCAGGAGCGGGTGCAGGCTTGTGCATGTGCATTTTTCTTTTTAAAGTGGAAACGGCTGGTGCTTTTAAAAATTCGCAAAAATCTTCCACTACACCTTTAAGAATACAAACATACAAATATAAACATGTATTATTTGTCCACTGACATATTGAATGAAATTAGGATATTTGGCCAAAAAGTTAAGAAATAAATAGAAACAAAACAAATCATACATATCAGGTTTAAATGGAGATTTAAAAAAATAATTAGTATAAAGAGCCGGGACTAAATTCACAGCCTCTATGTCATATAGAGAGCTTTTAACCTGATGAATCCCCTGGATAATTACACCATGTGATGTTTTGATGCAGTATTTAAATTTTTTTGAAGATTAAACTTTTTTGTCGACACTACATAATGTTGCGCCATGTCATTCAGAGAAATCTCTGTAACAAGGGTAACACAGCCAGTATTGAAATATGTGTTATTTCAAGCCTTCAATTGGGCAACGTGTGGTATTTTAATTGGATAAGTCGGATAAAAAAAAGTTTTATATTAATTATGGCTTAGATCATGTACTCTGAACCTAGGAAATTATAAATCAGCCCAGGTTTTACATATACATTCAATGGAGACTCCCATCTAAATGAACTTCAAGAATCACTAAAAAAGTTGCTTGACTGTGCATAAGAAAATTGACGCATATCTTTCTCTTTGTTTTGTTTAAATCAATTGAATGGGAATTTGGTATTCTGGAAAAAAATCCATTTGTACAAACAAAATGCATTTGAATTCTTTCATTAAGGAGGCAGTTCAACTTTGGACGTTTCTTAGCTTTAACATTTTGACATTTCTTTTTCTAAATAGCCATTTATTGGTTAAAAGAATATGTTTAATGTGCTCCTACACAAACAAAGACATTGATTGTCTACTCAAATGTTACGTTACTGTATTTTAACACCACAGCAGCTACATAAGTGACAGAAACTTATATTCTGCTGGAGTTGCCTTTAAATACATGCTCCTTAAACAAAACACACATTATATTTCAACATAGGAGGAATTTAATCATCATCTCCCCCGATATGTCAAGGTTTTTAAAATAATTGCAACCATATTTCTGTCTAACTTTATTTCAGAACAGCAGGCATTTGGAGGTGAACTCTGGAAAATGAAGTGAAGAGCATTCTTATGCAACTGAGTTGTTTTGCAAAACAAGTTCTGAGCCATTATAGTCAGAAAAAAGTATAAAACCAACTTCAGGGTCTGCAACAGACTTCATGCTTATGCTTGCAGTAAGAGGAAAAAATAAAACATTATGAAGTCCCTGAAGGTGTTTATTTGTTTTTTGAATTAATGCCATTTGTTTCTGTTAGTTGCTGTCAGGACTTTGTTGTAACTAATGGTTCATATATCTATTTTCTCTCCTTCAGGCGGCATCCCATTTATCCTGACTGGGGAACTATTTGAACAGTCATACAGACCTGCTGCATTCATGATCGCTGGCACTGTAAACTGGTTGTCAAACTTTGCCGTGGGCCTCTTATTCCCCTTCATTCAAGTAAGATCATAC